TCCTGCTTTGTGTAGCAAATCATCCAGTGCTGATGGTGACATACTGTACTTGTTACCACTGTACAGAATTTCAGGGTAGATGAGAAGTTGAGTAACCTTGTGCCCTCCCTTAAAAGAACCCTTTTGAACCTTGTGGATCACAGACTTTGTCCTCAGAATGGATGTTTTAACCCCTGCGCAGGAAGACTGTACGGAATTAGAACAGTTTCTGCACCTTCAGCACTTCTTTCAGCACCGAGTGTAAGAGGATACTTTTTTAAAAAAAAAAAAAAGGAAAAGCTGAAGGTATCTAGGCTCCTCATTTAAGATAAAGCTTTGCATCTCTATTTTGAAGAAAATGAAGCAATTTTGACAGAAAGGAAGTCAGAAGAGGGGAAACAGAGGGAAATCATAACTTACTTCGGAAACATGCCATGAGTATACAAAACAGGAGAAAGGGTGAAGGGAAGTTGATCTCAAGATTGCTAGTTAGATGTTAATGGCAAGCAGTCTGTCCTGACTGTCGTTTTGGGTTGCATAGGCTGAACAAGTCTCTGTTGCTAGGGAAAGCCTGACCCAGCTGGAGCAGACTTAGGTTGAAAAGGCCTTAGACTTGCGGAAGGGTTGTGCTGGATTGACTTGATGACTCAGAGCTGCCTTGGTGCTGCTTTGTCTAAGACTTTGGGTGTGGAGAGAGCCAGAGAGTGATGGTGGTTCCATCTTTAACTTCTGATTATTTGAGAGGATACTGCAGACCATTCAGTGTAGTACAACCTTTTAACATTACCCGAAAAAGTAAAGGGCCAAAGGCAAGGCTTAAAATCTGAAGGTGTGTATCTTTTTCAAGAAAAACCTAAGCAGTTATGTTTCCTTAGAACTTCTAAATGGAGTAACTGGGAGGAATACAAAATTTGGAAGCAAGAACTACACCATGATGAAATGGTTTCTTGTAGGAAATGAATTCTTTTATTAAAAACAGTGAATGTGTGAACTGTCAATCCTGCCCTCTAACACCTTAGTATTGATAACAAATTAACTGCTATGAATATATGTACAGCTGTGGCATACTGTACCAAGCAGAAGTTTTATTATAGGCTGCATGTTGAACAGCAGGCTTTCTCCTGCTTTGTCTTTTGTAGCATGCCATTTTGCAAAAAGAACGGTTCCTTCAAAACACTGAAGGGCAACAGGCAAGTCCTTTTAGGAGTAGTGGATATATAAAAAGAATAAAGACCTACTGCAAGGAATAAATGATTATTTGATGATAGATGATTAAATAGCAGGTATTTCTCAAGGTGGCAAGGTTCTTCTCTATGCCAGAATGTTTTCTGTGATCAAAATGAGCATTAGCAAATCATGGTTAAGGTCGAGAAGAAGCTACTGCATCCCTATACTCTGAGCTCCTTCTGTCACATGCGGCTTCACTTTGCCCAATCTGCGTGCACTCATCAGTAGTGTCAGCTCACTGAGTGTGCTTGTGCACAGCCTCTGTTCTGCTCCTTGGTGCCCCAGCCTGGAGCAGCGCTTAGAAAGGAGACTTACCAGGAGATCCTGCCAGATCAAGGAATAGACTGCAGGTCGCATTCATTACTCTCATCCTACGAACCTGTTATGTGCAATCATTTTTCCTGGTAGTTCGTTAACCCCGTCTCAGTTACATGATCAGGCTTGGATCCGTCCTCTGACTAGGCATGGGCTGCAGATCCTCAGAACAACTGTAGTGTGGAGTGGGTTTTCCTATTACCTTTGGTAATTTACATGCCCTGCAGCGTGCCCCTGGGATCCTCCTAGAAAAAAACAACACAATTGGGCTTCTTGTTGGGATAGCAGGTGGAGCTCAGTACTTCTGGACCAAAGCACTACTGCCAGGGAGGCATTTGTGTTCGTCTAGGTAAAGAATGCATTGCTTCTCTTCTGGTGTTTTACTGCATTGGGGAGTTCTTTTAAACAAATAAATATGTGTTTCTTTAAAGAACTAATTTCTCACTCAGAATTAGGTGCTTAGTTGAGAGTAAGTCTGAGAAATGATAGGCAGTTTAAGGAAAGGCTTGGAAATCTGTAAGCAGCTGAATGAAAACAGTGTGAATCTGACTATTGGTAATTATCCTGGGTGTTTATAATCTACTCAAAACTATTGGGGCAGGGTAATGAACAGTTGTTGCATTTTTATTTTCTGTTAGTGAGCAACATAAATACATACTAGTTAATTTCCAATTCTGAATTGAACATGAAACAAAGGTAAGTTATACTACTCGTATTAAAAAAGCTCTATAAACTGGAATATCAAAAACAGTTAAAGAGAATATAAATGCTCTAAAGAGCCTTTTATGTGCACTTCATTGTGTCTGACAGACCAGTTTATATTGTAAGTCCATATACGCTTTCTCTAAAATGGGATCCAAAGAAAACACAGCATAGCCAAATGGAAATTGTAGTTGACTTTGAGCTCTGATTAATTTGTTTTTCATATAATCCTTTTCAGGGCAGGGAGAAAAACGTGAGAAAAAGATGATGCATTGTGGTATAATTAACTTTCGTGAACAATGTGAACTTTAAAGAAATTTCTTAAACCCAACCAAATCCAAACAAAACACCTGTGTTAATTGGAACTCTTCTTTCCAAATGTCAGTGTGGACCAAGATGCTTGTCCCATTTCATGTTTGGGTCTCTGCAGTTCTCATTATATGCATGAAGTTCTGCAAAACATAACTCACTAGACGAACTAATAAGTTCTTAAATCAAAAATGTCAGCAGCATGCTCATCTGAAATCAGTTTCTAACATTAGAGCCTGCTGGACTTTATCCTTTTCCGTATTAAGAGGATGATATTTCATAACTGAGGCAAGTGAGTGCATACTTTTGCTATAAAGTTCTAGAAATCTCATTGATTTATAAAAGCATTAAATACCTAAAATTAAGTAACTTTCAAGCTGAAACAAACATAAAGCTAAAAGCAATATGACTTTTAAAGCCCAGCCTCAGAATAGACACATGAACAGATATATAATGCTTTAGTTAGTGGTTGCTGCCATTTCTCTTACAAATTGTTCTTTAGGGTATTGTAACTCAGCTGTTTTTAAACCCATCACTCTGGAACCTTGCCTACAAAATGTCAGCGCAAGTGCAAATTTTATTTCTTTAGCAAAATAAAGGGCTTGGAGCAGTTAGGCTCCAATTCTAAAATTTTACAGTAGTAGAGTAAATTTTGGTACTTTTGCTTTGCTGTAACAGGAACCATACTATTCACCTTGTCCTGCCAGCAGATATAGATGGAAACCAAAATAGTTTAATTGGAAAAACATTGTATGTTCTAACTTCCCTTTTTTAAAAGAGAAGCCCAATGTCAGAATGTAAATACTCGGGTGGTTGTCGGGCTGTGCTCTGGGCATACTGTCCCGGGAGGGTGGATGGAGGGACGGTTGCTTTAGAAGAAAATTTCAGAAGTTGAAAGCGAGGTGTGGATATCAGCTTATTAAAGAAATTCAATCTGGGTTGAGGTTGTCTTTCATACAGATTCAGGAGAGAAGCCCACACTTCTGCTGTAGGTGACCAGTAGCACATCTTACTGGATCTACTATCTTGGAGTTATTTAACACTACCCCTCTCCCACCTGGCTTCTAAAGCTGGTTAATGCCAGCCTATTCACCTCTCTTAATGTCTTCCTGAAGTTAAAGCCTTGATACGTATTCCAGGCAGTAGTATGCACTTGTTCTGTAGTCATTATATACTAAAATGGGGGTTTCCTGTCTCACTGGTTGTCATGGCCAAGTGTTACTGTTGGTACATTAGTTTTGGTGTTTATTTGTTTTTAAAGATTTAGGGAATGAACTTTCTTGCACATAGTTGCTTCTAGTGCAGCGAGTCACATTTTAATAACCTCTGCTTTCAACTTGGAGCTTTACTGAAGGAAGATTAGGTAATAGTTTGTGTAGAAAACATCTGTTTCTTAAAGATCTCGCCCTGTTGTTTTTTTGTGTTGTCCCTCTAACAAGAAAGTTCTTTAGTCTTTAAAAGACTTAAAAGTCTTTAAGTCATTGTCAGATGTTAGAGTTGCTGTGGTTTTAGCATGCTCATGTTCTGGATCCTTTGTTAGCTTAAGTTATTACCCTTAGATAAGTCTTGTGGGATGGAAGGACTGCTTTCTATTGTCAGTGCAATTTCTGAATCTCTGGACAATTTGTCTGGGTTAGAATTCAAGTTTTTTGGCTCCAGTGTTTGTTTAGACCTTTTCCCTTGTCTGAGGACAAGATGTTGTTAAAATAATTAAACCTAGCATACATAAAAAGAGAATCTTTCCACAAAATTGAATTGTTTGGGGTTTATTTAAGTCTTGAGTTGCTGAAATAAATTAGCATTTTACTTTGCTTACAAGCAACTTACTATCTATGCTGCGGAATCTTTTTTTCCATGTCTTCCACCGAAGACCAGCTCTGAGGGTTTCCAAGAGCAACAGCTCTTTACACTCTGTAGTTCTTTGTTTTACATTGAAATGCATTTTATGTGTCTAATTATTACATTATTAGTACAATATTATTTCAGACTCTTTAAAAATTTTGTGATGCATGTCTAATATGGAAGGACCTAATATATGTATTTATTAGGGAATAATCCTTTTGGTCATTGTTTTCTTGAGAGTGCATTGAGTTCAGTCTGCTGTTTTCAAGGGAAATTGCTCACTGTGATGCTGTATGTTGTTGTAAATAAATTTATCCTGTGTTCTTAGAACTCGAGAAACTTTTTTATGTCTTCCTGCCAAAATCAGTGAAACTTGGGTCACTGGAACATGCAAACAGGAATTCAGTGCATTACCTACAAGTCCAAGCGCTTGCTTTTCCCAGTCATTGCACAGGCAGTGCTGACCAGGTTTCTGTGGATTTTGTGTTGTTGCTGATCCATTGCAAGACTAGCATTCAAGAATTGGGCCTAATTTAGCTTGTGACCCTGGGAAGAAAGAGTGGTTTGAGAAATAAGTTGTAATTTTCTGGGAAGTGTTCCCCTTATGTGAGTGTATCTTGAGGGGCATGGAGGGTAAATTAGTAATGTAATGACCAGTGAACCACTCTCTATATGACCTAACTTGTTTGAAGTTGTGTGGCTGAATGCCTGGTTAGATCACACATGTCATGATGTAATTTGAAGCAGGGTGTGCAAATGCATTCAGTTTGTCTTTGTTCGCCAATTTAACACAGCTCTTTTCAACAGCAATAATAAACCAACATTTCTTTCTGCTGCAGAATATAGAATATAGATAACTTGCATCTCTGTGCTGGTCCTGGTAGTGTTTATAGTGATAGATGAAATGAGATGAATATTCAATGTAGGTGTAAATCAAGTATTCATTTCCTATTTTAACATTGCAAAGTAATTAAGAAGTTAAAAATTTCGTGGCCATCAGAATATTTTACTTGCATTCCAATTTTGAAAGGCTTAAAAATGCTTTATTTACTGACTTTCCTTTCTCCTTTTACATTTTCAGTTTGCGGGCCAAATGTTGACATTCGCAATGATATCCATGAACTGAAACGCCTGGAGAACTGTACGGTGATTGAGGGTTTCCTTCAAATTCTGCTCATCTCTAAAGCAGAGGATTACCGCAACTTCCGCTTCCCAAAGCTCACTGTCATAACTGACTATTTGCTGCTGTTCCGTGTGGCAGGCTTGGAAAGCCTCAGTGATCTCTTCCCCAACCTCACAGTCATTCGTGGGAGGAACCTCTTCTACAACTATGCCTTGGTTATCTTTGAAATGACAAATCTTAAAGAGATTGGGCTTCACAACTTGCGGAACATAACCCGCGGGGCCATACGGATTGAGAAGAACTCTGACCTGTGTTACCTCTCCACAGTGGACTGGTCTCTCATTCTAGATGCAGTGTCCAATAACTACATCGTTGGGAATAAACCTCCAAAGGAATGTGGGGACTTGTGTCCAGGAACAATGGAAGAGAAGCCATTGTGTGAGAAGACGTCTATTAACAATGAGTACAACTACCGCTGCTGGACCACCAACCACTGCCAAAAAAGTAAGATTTGAGTAGCTAGTGTGTTTGTTACCTCTTTCTGAAGTAAAGGTTTAATTTTGTGGTTTTATTTATACTCTTTATCAACTTAAACTTTTATGTTAGCTGTGTGTAGTCCACTTAACGAGTTATCCAGTTACCACAGAAATAGGTTCCTCCTCAACCAGCAAAGGATAGTCTCATGTGATTTAAAAACCAACCAAACAAAACAACAAACAAACAAAACCAACAACAAAACAAAACCCCACAAACTTTCTAGGTTACTTCCCCATGGAAAAGATGCCAAAAAAGTGTAGAACTAAAGCCATTATGGCAAAGCTGGAACCAGTTTTATCTCCCTTGAGGACCTGGGCAGGAGGTGGCTGTCAAATGCTATCTGCTCCTCCTTGCTGAAGTGATGTTACGTATATGCCAGAGTTATTGCCGTACTCAAGCTGTTAACTGGACTTACTTTGACTTGATTCTTTGCTTCCCTTGGCATGCACCTTCAGAAATTCCTGTAATGGTAAATTCTGTATGTAAGAACTTTTTTACTGAAATTAATTTTTACAGTGCCATTTGTAGCATCAAAGCGTCAATGGATACCTTGATGCTTGGTGAAATCACCCTTGCCCATTTTGTTCTTCTCTGGCATGACAGGGTTTGTGTTTCTGATAGCAAGTATTAACAAAAACAATACCTGATGTCTTCTCACTTTTTTAAAAATAGAGCAAACAAATCATAGAGTCATTTGGGCTGGAAGGGACCTTTAGAGGTCATCTAGTCCAACCCCCCTGCGGTGAGCAGGGACATCTCCAACTAGATAAGGTTGCTCAGAGCCCCATCCAGCCTGACCTTGAATGCCTCCAGGGATGAGGCTTCCACGACCTCTCTGGGCAACCTGTTCCACTGCTTCACCACCCTCATTGTAAAAAATTTTCTCCTTTTTTTCCTTATACGTAGTTTACTCAGAGAACATGATTACTTGGCAGGCTTTTGAGTTCATCCTGCAACTTTATGAAAGCTGAGCACTGCAGTATCAGTAGGGCTTAATTACAAGCAGTTGTCGCTGGGAGGAACAGTTCCTAAATTCCACTTGCAGTCTTGACCAAAGCTGCTATAATGATAGGAAATACGACAGTGTGAGAGAAGACAGGAACAGGGCTGTATTCAAGTTAACTTCATTTGGGGATGCTGTTTTTTCTAAAGTGGCTCATCAGTTGCTTGTGAAGCCCTCTTGCTCAATTAGAACTGAAATTAAGGTACCTTGTAGGGCAGTTTCAGTCAACAGATGTCAAAAAAATCTCTGAAAAGAGGCATTTGTAGGACTGTGCTTTTATCAATACTTCTTACAGGAAAGAAAGTTTGTTTTTGAACAAAGAAAACCCCTCAGCCTGTTACTGGGAGACATAGTGATTTGTCCAAGCTGAGGGAGGTGAGCTGTGTTGCTTTCTTACCATGTGTTGCTATGAGTCGTTAGGCTTCTGCAGGCCAAATTTATGTCTTCATTAAAAGAGTGTAACTCCATTGTCTACAGAGGGTGACCTAGGTGATTCCTGTGCAACCTCATTGCCTTTAGTGGTTTGAATGAATGTTAACTAGAGTGTATTTAATGAGGTATAAAAATTTACTTGCTTTCTGTTGTGTGCTCTGGCTATTTGGAGTAGACAAAAGTAATGGGCAAAAAAAGCTTGCTGACTTTTAAGGGAATGTTAAAATAATTTGGATCCCAAAAGCACACGAGAAAAGATCTGTTTAAATAAAATGAGGTCATAGTTACACTGTGATGGCAGCACTTTTAAGGCAAGGGTATAGATGTTTTTCTTTTCCTATGTGCTTTCATCTTCCTTCCATAGGAGATTGTGAAGCAGAAAGCGAGTACTGGAAAAGAGCCTTGAAAGGCTTGTTAAGAGCATTACACTGTGGAGAAACATTTTAGGTTTAGAGTATCTTAGGGTGCAGAGCGGATAAAGAAATGATCAAGTTCTAATCAATAAAAAAGTGTGAAAGTTAGACCTATTTAATCTGTTTGTTGTGATAAGCTGCTGACTTTGAGGAAGAAGATGACTTTAAATTTGCCAGCCATTCATCTAAAAAAAAAGACCCACAAAACACCAAACCCCAAAGCACTCCTGTTCTGAAGAAAAACAAGTGAGATATAAACGTGCGGTTGTTGAAAAGGAAACTCTTTGTCTGTCCTGCTAGATTGCTTGGAAGCTTTGGCAATGACCTCCTGATCTGGGGAGGACTCTTGCAGTACAAAATTACACAAGACAGGAAAAGGACAGAAGCAAGGACTTCTAAGTTACTGAGTGTTTCAATCTGCACTTCCCTGCCAGTGGAGATGTGACAGCTATGTTATTTTCCAGGGAATATTTTTCTAGTATAGTATCTAATGTAACCCTGACATTCTCCTTGTGCGTCACAGTAATGTTAAACTGAAAATGCTGTCTATCACTCAGGGTTCCTTTATACCTTTTTATTTTCCTTCGCTCTGGACCTGTGGAGGAGTGTATATTAAATCTCTTTTGTCCTTGTTTAGGTTTTACACTGAAAGATCTGAAGTTGGTGCGTAAATGTTGAGTGGGAACACTTAGTACTTTAAGTAGCCTGGTTTCTGTTTAGTTTTGCTGTTGAGTGGAAGTTGTTTTTTCCTTCTTTTTCTTGCTCACAAACAAAGGAAGTACCCTGTGCTTCCTTCAGTATAGCTTGTGTGGGAACAATGTTATGGGTGGAGGGAGGAGAGAGGGAAGGATATGTTGTGTTTGAGTTAGAGTAATCCATTGACATTTCTGTAGTAGAACAAACTACAAAGAACCTGTAACTTTAAAAAATTTTTCTTTATTTTTTAAGGTTCAGCGTGAAGCATCAGCGGCTTCTCTGCCAGTTTTGTTGCCCTGGTTTCTGTGTAGTATACATTCCTTTACCTTTGAGTGCCCCAAGGCAGCAGCTTTACTAGTTTGTTCGCTTTGGAGCTGCGGCGTGCTGTGTTGGGTTTGGCATGCTATCATCTCTCTGACTTGCACCTACTTTTCTTTTGGCGTATGAAATGCCAGCTGTACTTCACTTGGGTTGCAGGTCCACATAGAACAATCTCTCAAGATGAGAGTGCTGAAGTTGTTTGCATCAGTGGTTGTGCTTTGGGGTACAGGTGGAGATGGAAAAGATAAAAACTGAGCGTCCAGACGTACAAATAAGATTATGGCCTTTTGTTTTTTTTCTTTTTTTCTGGCAGTTGCGACTGCTGGAAATGTTTATGGAAGCTGCCTGCATCTTGCTCAGCGATTGATGTGAGAACCAGAAAAACTGTTCCTGCTGTACCCCTTTAAAGACTGGTCTCTGATGACATGCTTGCTTTGCCTGTCCGTTGGTCTACTGTTTTTCTATATTCCTTTTGCTGATGACTAAACTTTGAGGTCTGCTGCTTTAGTCACTAGGCCTTTGTAAACCTGCAGAAACCAAATGTAAATTACAATCTTGAAAGCCTTCCTCAAAGTTTAGGATCACTTGTCTACTGTAACCTTTGTGGTGTTTTTCGAACAGGTCCAGCTAATTCCTCCTCAGATACTTCTACCCCTGCTGGGGCCATAAGAAATTAACTAGGCAAACTGTTTATGTGGGAAAGTAATAGCAAAACTAGAAGTGATCCATATATGAGATCTATGGTATATAGGTGGGTGTTTTTTTTTTTTTCTTTTTGACTTCATCTTAATTATTCATCCCCTCTCCATCCATCCACCAGCTGAGTTGGAGATGCTGTCTGTCAAGTGTTAGCTGAAACCCTTCCTTTCCTACTTGAATAAAGCAAAGACTAGGGGTCTGGTTGTGGGGAGGACAAACTGTTCATACCCACTGTGAGGTGGTAATGGCTTCAACTGCAGCTTCTGTGTGAGAAGACGAGCACAGGCTGGAAATCTGGGTCTTCCCTTTGTGAGAGAGCAAATTACAGTGCTGCACAAAGGGGAAGAAAGAGCCATGCTTCCCATAAAACTGGTGAAGGTGAGTATCTGAAGTGTGGGAGGGACCTTTAAGATCAGATTTGCCACTGGCATAAAAAAAGTAAGTTTAAATTGGCATTGTAGAAAGAACATGGATTACGGCCATAAGCATTAAGCACTTGTTTCAAAAGAGATTAATTTGATGTGAAAAACAATAGCTCACGTAGACTGCGCTTCACAATGCAACAGAAGAAAACTTTCAGCTTCAGAATGTGTGAAACTGAAGACCATGGAAAAGGCATGTGAGGATTTGGAGGCATATAAAGAAGCAGATGGCAGCTAAGCACAAAATGTTTTTAATGAAAATGTATCCTTATTCCTTATTGAATTGGTTTGACAGTGGCCTGAAAAGATATGGTGTATGTGGGGAATGAGGAACAGGAGGTAGAGAATGACAGTGAGTGGGAAGAATGGTCCATATGTACCTTCTACTAAAATGTTTAAACATATGGAGACAGTAACATGATGTATTCTCACAAATATTCGGAATCTGCTCCTGTTTGTTTACACGGAGCTCAAAAGATAATGCAGTTGAGTCGTATCGTTTGACATAGCTTCATTGACTTGTGCAGTACTTACCAGTGTACGCCATCTGGGAATCTGCTCCCTGTTGATTCAGCAGAGTAGTGGTGAAAACCATGTGCTGGGATTTTTTTTTTTCCCCTTCTCTCCTTGTTTTCCCCTGTTGGAGGAATATTCACTATATTCCACTGTCCTTTAGAAATACTGAACGCACGTGAACTATGTAGACAGAGAGAGGGGAAGAAGTTGGGTGCCAGAGACGCCGAATCAAAATGCACTTATTTTTCTTTAAATTACATCTGCATGCATTTTTCTGTTTGGTGCTTCATTTAAGATTTTTTCTGTTTGTTTTTTCTTAAACTCTGAAATATAATAGGAATTGCATATATCAGCAGAGGACAACATGCTTTAAAAGTTGTATTCTTCTAGCAAGCAAATTTGAAGTGGTATAATGTTAAGTGAAGCTAATCTGTGCAATTCTAATCCTACCTTTGTTGGGTTAAAAAAAAAAAAAG